TCAGCCTGAGGGTACAGACCTGTGTGTGATCTCTTGCTGCTTTGTGATAACCAGACAAGCTCGGGGCATCTTCTGTGCCTTTTATCTCACAGTAGGACCCCGTCACCCACACCTCCCTTCCTGACACGTCGTCATGGGCGTCTGTCAGGGGTTACCTGATGATGGATGATTGACAGCCAGACCCTGGTTCTAGTCCCTGTTCTGGGACTGCCAAGTGGGTGCTCCCTTTTCCTTTGGGGGCCTCATGTTCACTCTGGAAAAATGGGAGGRGAAGGGGAGGGTCAGAAAAAGTTGTCATGGAGACAGAGTTGTTCCTATGAACCCGCAGGAGCTTGGTCCCAGGACCCCTGAGGATGCCAGAATCCAAGGACGCTCAGGTGCCCTCTACAAGATAGTGCAGCGTTGGCATGTCCCCCGGCGCATCCCCTGTGTGCTTTAAGTTGTCTCTAGATGACTGATCACACCTCACACAAAGCTCTACAGTGGTACGCAGTGTTGTTTGGAGAATAACAATGAGGAAAGAAGTCTGTACGTGTCCGATACGCGGTTTTTTTTTCCTTCTGATTATCTTCCATCTGAGGTGGGTTGAGTCTGCAGATGTAAAACCTGCAGCTCCAGAGGGTGCCCCTGTCTCCCCACCTGGTTGTTGCACCCACTTTCTGGAAATCAGCCTGACAGGGGTTGACAAAGGACAAGWGTGTGGAGATTGAAGGGACATCGAAGGAGGCTGAAGGAGCGCAGTCCCCGGGCTGTCCTTCCTCCCGACAGCCTTTCCTAGATACCTTGCAGCCTCGGTCTCGTGTCTGTACAGGGGCATGACAACATGTCCCTGCAAGGAAGGGACAGAGCCACAGCCAACCCAGACAGCACCCATGAACCTGCTTTGGAAACCAGAATGTCCCCTGCCTGGGTGGGGGGCGAGTTTCCCTCGTGTGCACGGTGACATCTCTCAGAAATATCTGGACTTGGYGGCTCAAGGACAGCAGGGAGGGTCCTGTGGTGACCAAAGGCCTCTTTCTCTTCTCCCTCCAGTTACGTCCGCTGCTACTACTGGGCCGTGAAGACCCTCATCACCATCGGGGGGCTGCCCGACCCCCAGACCCTCTTTGAAATTGTCTTCCAGCTCCTCAATTATTTCACGGGGGTCTTCGCCTTCTCCGTGATGATTGGACAGGTAGCCGGGGCCCCAGCCTGCAGTCCCCCCCCCCCGACACCTGCAGCCCCTCCCCCCACTGCTTCCAGAAGCCTTGCTCTCCGCGCCTGTTGCCTTGGGACTGAGCCTGAGGAAGAGCCCTTGTCTGTGAGAAGCGACCCCTCCCCGCGACCCTGCAGCTCCCTGACTCCCCGGCCCTCTCCCCCAGATGAGAGACGTGGTGGGGGCCGCCACGGCGGGACAGACCTACTACCGCAGCTGCATGGACAGCACCGTGAAGTACATGAACTTCTACAGGATCCCCAGGTCCGTGCAGAACCGGGTCAAGACCTGGTACGAGTACACCTGGCACTCGCAAGGCATGCTGGGTAAGACTGGCCTGCAAGGGGGCGGGCAGCTCCCCAGCCAACCCCTGCCACCTGCTGCCCTCGACCCGTGTCCCAAACGCTGCCCTCGCCCTGGTCTCCAGCTGGGCCTCTCTGGGCTGCGATGTTGAGAGAGGGGCCTCCCGAGGCCTGTGGGTACCTCCAGCTGGCTGCCCTGGGACCCCCAAAGACCCAGGGTCTTGTCTCTGGCACCGGTGTCTCCTCACCTCACTCCCCAGCAGGCGCAGCCCCGTCAAAGGTTCAGCACAGTTTAAATCAGGAAAGAGGAAGCCCTCCTCCCCCTCCTCCCTCTTTCCTCTCCTCTCTTTCCTCCCCTGGGTGTGCACCGCAGACCTGGCCCCTGCTCTCCTGGGGCAGGTGGCTCTGGGCCACCCAGCCTGGGAAGGATCCTGCCTCTGTGCCCTGTCTGCACAGCCCTGGCAAAGCCTCTGCCCTTTCCTGATCACAGCACTGGACCCTCTTGAGTTGCTGGGACAATTGAGTAAAATACTCTTTRTACAAACCTCCTGTAAACACCTGGTACCGGGTCAGCACTTGCTCCTGTTCTTCCAGGGTGACTGGCGAAAAAAGCTCACACACCATTGCAGTCAAGGGCGTGACAGGTCCTATAGCACAGGGACACAGAATCTGGGCGGGTAATGTTCAGGGGAGGCTTCCTGAAGGAGGTGACRTTAGTGCTGGGTTTTGAAGGGTGAGTAGGAGTTTGTTAGGGAACCCGCGTTCCCGGCACAGGTGTTGGTAAAGGCCTGGAGGACACAGGAGAAGCTTTCAGGGTCTTTCAAGAGTGGTTTGCGCTTCGGGGGAAGGTGGGCTGCATGAGCCAGAGCAGAGGTCTCCGCCAGGGCCTGCGTGGGGTGGGGCTGGCCTCGCCTCTGACCCTTGCCAGGTCTCGTTCACAGATGAGTCAGAGCTGATGGTGCAGCTTCCAGACAAGATGCGGCTGGACCTGGCCATCGACGTGAACTACGACATCGTCAGCAAGGTGGCRCTCTTCCAGGTACCTCCGCCAGTGCCCTCTCCCTGGGGCCTCCGGAGGGACCCACGCCCAAGACCTCCGCTCAGTGGGCCTCCTTTCCCCCTTCCCTGCAGGGCTGTGACCGGCAGATGATCTTTGACATGCTGAAGAGGCTGCGCTCTGTCGTGTACCTGCCCAACGACTAYGTGTGCAAGAAGGTGAGCCGCCGGGTCTGCACAGCCACCCGCCCTCCGGGCACCGGCTGCAGTGCAATCCTGATGGCCCAGAGACGTTTGCAAGCCCCGGGCCACTTTAGCCCCTGCRCTAGAGCCCAGCTGACCTGGGACCAGTGTACCCAGCCCCAGGCAGTGGACGTGCACGGAGGTGCCCCAGGATTCGCAAGGCGTTCCCATCCCTCCCCCGGCCTGAGACCAGGGCACAGGATGAGGATTCCCGCCTTGTAGAAAAGGGAATCGAGGGGCCTCACCGTGCGGATGGAACTGCTTCCAGTGCCTCGGTCTTTCTATCAGGAAAATGGGAGGGGAGAGGGGTGACTGYCTTCACGTCACCCACCCAAGCCCAGAAAATGTATGAGTTTGAACCCTGAACTTGACAGTGTCCAGTGCCCCCTCTGCTTCCTGTCTTTGGCATTTAAGGTGACCCCAAGGTCAACTGGGGAGGGGACAGTACCCAGGGTTAGTCCTCTTGCACAGAGCTGGTGACGAAGCTGGCGATGTGTACGGGGTGAACATGTTGCCTGTAAGATCTGGGAGCCCCCAGCCCACGAAGGCCCCCCGACGAGGTGGCATCCTGGGCAGCYGTGAAGTTTCTGGAAGCAGAGAGCTGGGGGACAGGAAGGAAAAACCGCTGCAGGAGGCTGAGATTCAAAGTTCCCTGGAGGGATCTGGGAACAATCAAGTGATGTCCCTGACACCGGAGCCCTGCCCTCGCTGTGCAGCCTGAGCCAGCGTCCGCCCTTCCTGTTCTGCTGGGCGACGAGGGGCCATTGGTAGTGCCTCCGTATGGGGGTGGGCTGGGAGGAGAAAYATGAGCCCATGGCTTGGCACTGTGCCTGGCACAGAGCGATGACAATTGCCGTGGCTATTATCTGCCTGGGGACKGCAGTTGGCAGTAGGTAGAGGATGGCAGCAGGTGCTGGGAGTCGGCCGTTCCCAGCCCTGTGAGTGGCGCCCTCTGCTGGCGGTTTTGCTCAGCGACACTCTCCAGGGGCGGCCTTCCAGAGGGGGAGCTTGGTGGCCCTCACATGTTGGCCCCGTGACAGACTGAACGTGCAAACAGGGAGGCCCACTACCTCCCCCTTTCTCTAAGAGGGTCACGGTGTGAGACGCGCAGGAAACATTGGGTGAACAAATCTAAAGTGTCACGGGTTCCTGTCCTTGGCCTCTCCCCATTTCAAATATGCCAGGCATGACGGACAGGTGGCAGGCCTCTTTGGTTGGCTTCCTGATGGCCTTYTTCTCTGAGTCCCTTCATATCATCTCTCCTCTGTGCCTGTCTGTGTCCAGTTTCTCTTTTTTTTTGGGGGGGGGGCAGGTACTGGGAATTGAACCCAAGGGCGCTTAACCACTGGGCCGCATCCCCAGCCCTTTTTACTTTTTATTTTGAGACAGGGTCTCCCTCAGTTGCTTGGGACCTTTTAGTTGCTGAGGCTGGCCTCAAGCTTRCGATCCTCCTGCCTCAGCCTCCTGAGTCACTGGGATGACARGCGTGCGCCACCGTGCCCGGCCCCAGTTTCCCTTTGTGTAAGGATRCCAGTCAGATTGGATWGGGCACCCAGCACCCACCCGACTCCAGTACAGCCTCATCTTAATTGAATTACACCTATGGGGAGCCTWTGGCCAGATACGGTCACACTTTAAACTACTGGAGATGACAATTGGGACAGATAATGGGGGYGGGGTGGGGAATTCAACCCATAACMACCATGAAAACYACGAACTCTGGAACCAGCTGGATCCCATCCTGGCTCTGCCTCGTCCTTGCTTTATGACCTTGAGAAAAGCTCAGTCCTGCCTCCAAGGGCGCAGAGCCTCCTGAAGGTACAGGTGCGTAGGGCACTCAGACCAGGGCCTGGCACCGCAAAGCGTCATGGACCCGCGGGGCTTGGTTGTTCCTGAGTTAGCAAACACCTGGTAGGTGCTGGGCCTGGACAGTCACTCACGGCCTGGGCCACTGTCCTGGCCACCGTCCCAGGTGCCACACCCCCATTGCCGGGTAGAGCTGGGAATTGCAGGAGACCCTTACGCCAGCACCTGGCACGTGGCTGGTTTTTCTCTCCTGCTGACCCTCCCCTCGTGAGGCCATCCGTCGGGTAGGCAGGGCGCTGGCCTCTCCAGTCCACAGATGAGGAGTCTGAGGCCCCCGTGGGACGTGATTGGCCCCATGCGCTCAGCCTTGGTGCCTCCTCCCTGGGCCACCAGCCTCGGGGCCCAGCCCTCGCCTCTTCCCTGCTTGCTCTGAGGGGGACAGAGGGACTCTGCGCGGTCTGTTTCAGGGGGAGATCGGCCGGGAGATGTACATCATCCAGGCGGGGCAGGTGCAGGTGCTGGGGGGCCCTGACGGGAAGTCCGTGCTGGTGACCCTGARAGCTGGATCCGTGTTTGGAGAGATAAGGTCAGGAGGGAACTGGGGTGAGTGGGAGGCTCTGGGCAAAGGCTGGGGGCAGGGGCCGCCGTGGATCTTGGGAGACTGGGTGGGCACCGCACGGGCGCCTGCTGGCATTTGCAGGCTGAGTCTGGGCTCTCAAGTCGGTGGGTCACCGTCGTGCTCCACGCAGCGGGGGATGCACCGTTGATGGTGACCACAGCCACGATGGTGGGCGGGAAGGTGCGCGCCTCTGGTCCCAGCCGCCTGCGAGGCTTGGGCCCAGGGGTGCAAGACCAGCCTGGGCCATAGCAAGATCCCCACCTCAAGAAACAGAACCCCAGACTCCCCCAGCTTCCCCCAGGCTCTCACCTCCTCCCCTCTCCACCCAGCCTGCTGGCCATCGGGGGCGGGAATCGRCGCACGGCCAACGTGGTGGCCCACGGCTTCACCAACCTCTTCATTTTGGATAAGAAGGACTTGAACGAAATTTTGGTGCATTATCCTGAATCTCAGAAGTTGCTCCGGAAGAAGGCCAGGTACACAATTKACTTGTTTTRTTTTRTTTTTCATTWAAAAAAAATGACCTAACCASGATACCTTTACCCAAATCAGGACATTTCACATGGAAACAACACCCTTACCCCCTGGGACCCAGGTTCAGATCCTGCTAATCATCCCAGGGGCGTCYCTTTCGGCCTGGCTTGGCTTCTGTTCCTTCCTGGATCAGACCCAGGGTCACACGTCACATGGGGTCACCACGTGTCCTTTGTCTCCTTGGATCTGGAACCGCTGGCCAGCTGGCTTCTCTCTTTGCTGACTTCAATTTCTTGGGATTGTCCTGTTCTTCAGTCTGGGTTCCCCCGATTTCTTCTTGTGATGACCCTCAGGTTCGGGTCTAGGGCAGGAGTGACCCTGTGTCGGTCTCAGTGAGCGCATCAGGGGCACACGGGGCTGGTCTGATGGTTTTTGATTCAATCTCGGGGTCAAGTTCTACGCTATTGTTAGTGTTTCTCTCTTTATAATTAATAAGTAACTACAGGGCAGTGACTTGAGGACCATTCAGGGGTCCCACTCCCCTTAGAACTTTTTATTTTGGGTACCAGGGAAGGAACCCAGGGGTGCTTAACCACTGAGCCACATCCCCAGCCCTTTTAATATTTTATTTAGAGACAGGGTCTCACTGAGTGGCTCAGGTCTGGCTAAGTAGCTGAGGCTGGCTTTGAACTTGGGATCCCCCTGCCTCAGCCTCCCGAGCCGCTGGGATTCCAGGCGTGCGGCACGCACCTGCTCATAGAACTTTCATCTCTTACCTTTAGCATCTACTGGCTGTTCCTTGCTAAATTTCCAAAAGTCCACATTCTACAAAACTCTATGCCCAGACAAGCGTCCCCACTGCCACCCACCCCTGGGTGGCCAGCCTCATGGGTTTCTGCATTTCATTCCTGTGTTGACTTTTGCAACAGGTAGGCAGATCCACGGCTGTGTTCTCATTTTCCCTTCCCTGATGCTCAGAGGCAGCATACCATAGATTCTTTCTGCACCTGGCYTGTCCCCCCTTGACAAAATATCCTGGGAGCTGCTTTCTCGGTGCRCGGACGGCTTCCTCATTCCCTTCAGCAGTTTGCACGACATTCCTATGAGTGTGCACTGAGSGTATTTCCAGTGTTTTGCAACCCGTGACCTTGTGCACCTGTATTTTGTATTATTGGAAAATAGRTMATTTATAAWTTTTTTATTYTTATTTTTTAGCAAAGTAGGGCTTTGCTTTCAGATCCTTAAGATTGGGCTTCAAACTGAGCAGCAGAGGCAGTACCGGTGGTAGAAAGCCCAGAATAGACTTGGGAGTCCAGTGAGGTTCAACTCCCTTCCATGTGTTTTCTGGCTGTGTTTCTTTAGGAAAGTTGCTAAACTTTTCTGGTCTCGGTTTTTGCCTCTGTAAAATAAAGGTGACCACCCCTGACTTTGCCGTTGTGAAGATTCAATAAACCAGGGGGCAAGAGCATCTCTGTGGGGTGCCTGGCAGGTGCTCGCTTCATGATGATAATCCTCGGGTTCCCCTTTTGTACCCATTGAATCCTCCCTAAAGTTTTTCATTTGGAAAAAGCCATCGAGGAACAGCACAGAGAGGTCAGAGGAAGGGAACAAGTCACCAACAGCCATTCATCCAGCAMAGAGTTCTAGGCCCTGGGGACAGAGCAGGGACCAAAGCTCACATTCTACTCAGGGCGACTGACAATGGAAAAATGGGTGGCTCTGGGAGGTGTCAGCTGWGGTAGGAGCCATGAGAAAATAAAGGCCATGTGTAGAGACAGAGGAGATGGAAGGAGCTATTTGAGACAAGCTGGGCCGGGGACACGAGTCTCAGGAGGCGGCATTTCAACCAAGACTTGCACAGAGGGAAGAGGGGAGCTGGGAGTGTTTTCCGCAGGGTAAAACATTCCAGGCAGGAGGAATGGCATGTGCAAAGGCCCTGAGGTGGAGCAACCTCCGTGTGTGTGCAGAGAAACAGCAGGAAAATGGGTGTCGCTTGATGTGGGATCAGAGAAATGGGAGGGAAAGAGATTGTGTGGGCCCTTGTAGGCAATGACTTGGCAAGGGCTTTGGCTTTTACTCTGAGGAAGACAGGAGCTGTACAAGCTTACATACGGCAGTCGCTTGATGTGACAGGTGTTTACAGGATTCCTTTGGCAGCTTCAAGGTGGAAGGAGGCAGGGCTGCTACTGAAGCGTCACATGCACCTGGTGCCGAGGCCCCTGGGGAAGGGAGCTGCCTGTAACTCAGCATATCTGGCTGCTCTCAGGAAGCCCACCTGGGCCCTGCCATGGGCCAGTCTACCAGAACTTTCCTGACCTGATCTGCCCACTGTCCCTGTCACAGCAGGTATACAAACCAGCTCCTCCTCTCCCGGGGGCAGAGAAGTGGAGGAGATCCTCATTCTCACCATTTCCACTCTACATTCTCCACTCGCTCATTTCCTAGATACCCCAAGATTGGCGCTCACGGGCTTCAGTCAGSACATGCCCAGAGTGACCAAAAATTTGCGTCATTCAAAATGCATGTTCCCAGCTGAAGTCAGACGAGGGGACCCTCTGCCTCCCTGTTGGCGCTCAGCCCTGTGACAAAACACCTGGGATGAGCAACCTATGTGTGAGGAGCAAGGACTTATTTTGGCTCATGGTTTCAGAGGGTCCAGCCTGTGGTCCCCTGGCCCGGTGGCTTTGGGCCTATGMTGAGGCAGAACGTGTGGCATGTGGTAGAGCCAAGCCGCCCACCTCACGGCAGCCTGGACGCAGACAGACAGGCAGACAGACAGAGAAAGGGGAAAGGCTCCCCTGCCTCTTCAAGGCCACACCCCCAATAACCTAACTTYCTTCCCCTAGGCCCCGCCTCCTCAGGGGTCCACCACCTCCAATAGCACCGACCGCAGGCTGGTGCCCAGGCCTTGAGCACCTGGGYSTTTGGGGAACATTTGAGATCTGTGGTCATTTCAGGGCCACATTTTWAAAATTGTGTTTGTGCTCTTTGTTGGTGGCTTTGCTGTTTCAAACGGTCCCCCAGCACAGGGCCAAAGTGCCACTGTTGTGTTCCTAAGCACGGGAAGGCTGCCGTGCGGCTGCCCAGAAAGTAGGTGTGATGAGCCTCGCTCAGGCCAGAACCCGGCACCGCTGGCTGTGGTCAGCACTGACGAGGCCAATGTCATTCGTAAGGGAGGCCGTGGCCTGGCGGTTGACAACGCTGTGGTGAGAGGTTCCGGGGCCTCACCTGTGTTTCCCGGGAGCGTTGGTTTCGTATTTGCTGGTTCGGGGTCCGCAGACACCTTATCGAACAGGATTCTCGCAGATCGTGCAATTCCACTGTCCAGGTCTGGCCACTCCTTCACGGCCCTGCGCTGTCTCCCTGCCCGTCCCCCTGCAGAGGAGCACGTCTCAGGGCCACAGCTGGCTCCCTGTCCCTCTGGGGGGGAGGCGAACTATTGGGAATCAGGAGGGCCCTCGCCAGGGCCATGGGGTCCCTGTTCCCTACAGTGTCCCCAAGACCCTCCCAGACTGCGGTGTGGCAGAGGCAGGGAGAGGGATGAGACCAGGGCATCCCAATCCCTCAGAGTGGCTGTCCCCTGCCTTGGGACAGGCCAGCTTGGAGAACTGGGAGATGACTCTGCCCGTCAAAGGAGAGACTGAGACCCACCGTTGACGAGGTCCACTCAGGGGATTCTAAGACCCCCACTTCACAGAGGGGACCCGAGGCCCTAAGGAAGTGGGGCGCCCACGGTCCTGGCCTGGCCACTCCAAGTCAGGGTGTGCTCGGGGCCCCTTTCCCAGGGCAGTGCCTYGCCCTCATGAACAGGAAGCTCATCCACTGATGATGAGGACAGATGTCCTCCCTCTGGAACGTCCCCAAGGCCAGCACGGTGTTTCAGAACAGGGCCAGCCACTAGTCCTATGGAGAGCGCCTTTGTGTCCTTCCTGTGGACTGCCGAGCCATGAATATGGACTCAATAACCCAGGTGACCGTGCCAGGCCGGTCTCCAAGAGGCCCTGACGAATCGCCATGTTTGTGCCCTCCGGGGGGAGCCCAGTGAGAACATGCAAACCTTGGGCAATTAATATCAACACCCACAATTTAGACCCACGGCCTCTGATTAGAGGAGCAGCCGGGAATGGCCTCATATTTAAACAAACAAGTGGCTCCAGAATGCTGATGAGTACACTTGCCGGCTGGTCATCTGGGCCAGCTAGATGGCAGGCGACGTCCATTTGTTCCTGAGCTAAACCACTCAGAACAGACTCAGGGCAGGAAAAATGTCTTGTAAAAGGCGGGGGCTGTGTTTGATGGAAAATTCTATCCTCGCTTAGAGAAACAGGGTGGCACGGGGCACTAGATCYGGACTGGGATTCTGCCTCTGCCACTTCTGAGCCACCTTGGACCTGTGCTCCCCTAACTGTGGGTTTGAATTCTAGCTCTGTGACTTCCTGGGTGTGTGGCCTTGGGAAAGTTACTCACCCACTCTGGACATCTGCATCCTCCTTTGGGGATGGCTTATCTGGACCTGTCATCAAGGTGACAGCCAGGGCAAGGTTGCATTTCAAGTCTTGGGTGGGGGGGGGAACCTGATTCCAAGGTCACGTGGTCGTTGGCTGAATTCAGATCCTTGGGGCTGCAGGATGGGGTGCTTCTGTGCCTAGCTAGCTGTTGGCCAGCGGCTCCCTGCAGGGTCCCCAAATGTGGCTTCATCTGAGCCAGTGGGGGAGTCTCCTTGCAAGACGGAGACCCCAGTCCTGGGTGGCACCGGCACATGGTGGTGTGTGGATCYTGTAAGAGCTGCATGTCTCCCTGGTCCTCCCGGGTGGGGACCCCACAGAGGGGTGAGCACCAGGAAGGGGGGCTGGGGCCCCCAGAGTGCTGTGAAGGGCAGCACAGGGCCCAGCCCCTTGGCACTCAGGCCCCCAGGGTCTGTTTCCTGTTGCTGTGAGAATCCCCGGGCTGGGGGCGGGTCGGTGGAAGAGCCCTTGCCCAGCACAGCTGGGRCCCGGGTCTGCCCTCAGCACTGCCCAGAAGAAAAGCAATACCTGGGGGGGGGCGGGCGCGGGGTACAGAAAGGAGGTGTGTTTGGCTCCCAGGCTGCAGGTCAAGGGCAGGGGCTCAGGGCTGGCTATGGGCTTGGCTCTGTGAGGACCCCACAGCAGATGCCATCATGATGGGAGGACGTTGGAGAAAGACCCCACCTAAGACAGGAAGCCAGAGAGAGGAGGACAGCCAGGCTCCCCCTTGTATGACAACCCTCTGGGACCCACGACATCGTTCCCCAGTGACCTCATTACTGTACACCAGGCACCCTCTCTTCAAGGTTCCCCCACCTCCCAACTCTCCCAAATGAGAGCCCAACACGTGGTTCCTTGGGGGACACACTCAAACCACATCCACACCATACCACTGTCCTTTAGTGAGTCCTGTGTGACCAAAGATGAGTTATTAACCTCTCTGAGCTCCAGCGTCCATCAGGACCTCTGCATCCAGAAGACCCACCTCATGGTGGATGTTCTGATCCTTCAAGGAGGTCTGTCTGTGCATTCACACTGAGCCCTGTGCTTGGCTCAGAAAAGGCGCCCCCAAGCCATCAGCCACCCCCACCACCAGCACAGAGCTCTGACCCAGAGGAAGAAGTGCCACTCCCGCCCCAGGGTGCTCCTGATGCAGCTGCGGCTCTCTTTCAGGCGCATGCTGAGGAACAACAACAAGCCCAAGGAGAAGAGCGTGCTCATCCTGCCCCCGCGGGCGGGGACCCCGAAGCTCTTCAACGCGGCCCTCGCTGCAGCAGGGAAGATGGGCGGCAAGGGCGGCAAGGGCGGCAAGCTGGCCCACCTCCGAGCCCGCCTCAAGGAGCTGGCTGCGCTGGAGGCCGCTGCGAGGCAGCAGCAGCTGCTGGAGCAGGTGAGGCCCTGGGGACCCAGACTGTTTCCGGTTTGTGCCAGGGAGGCCACTCATTTGGTATCAGGGACCCCACGCACACATTCTTTCCATCAGGCAGGACTCACTGGGTGGCCAGGGACAGGCGGCAAGTTCAAATTAGCTGAGGGAATCGGGGAGGCAGGTCGTCGACGGGTTCAGGTGAAGCTGGATCCAGGAGCCCAAACGGGGCCAAGGGGATCTCACTACAAACCTTCTGTCGTGACCGTTTTCTTTGGTGACGCTCCACTTCCAGGCACGCCCCTAAGATCCCATCCTCCTGGTGTCCCCACTCCACCAGAGAGTGCCTCTTCCCAGAGATCCAAGCAAAAGCCCCGGGACTCACTGTCCCTGGCCAGAACTGGCCCACACGCCAATTTGGGAGCCATTTGGTGCAGCCAGGGGAGCGTGGTACTCGGGAGGAACCCAGGCCACATGCCCAGCCCTGGGCGGAGAGTGGCAGGATGGGGTGGGGACGTTCCCTAACGGGAAGCCCTGGTGCTGTCACCGAGGTGGGAAGAGAGCATCTGGACAGGGAATGTCCCTCCCAGGTGTCAGGGACAACTTCCCACTGTGTCTGTGACCCATTAACAGATCTGACAGGAGCACGCCCACAGACAGGCACGGCGCGGGGCCCCCACCCCCATAAAGCTGAAGGGAATATTAAAATTAGTTCTGGGATTTTTTTTTTCTTTCTAAAGCCAAGAATGCCAATTAGAATAATTACGTTAATTATGTCTGTTCATGACCGTCCCTGAGGGAGGCTGCCAGGGAAGGAGGTGGCCGGGGCAGGCGAGCGCTCAGGGGTGGGGCTCTCTCGGGGTCCAGACAGCAGGACACACGACAGAGTTTAAGGRAGCCCCATGAATTCCACCTCCGCCCAGGCTGGTGTCAGAGTCCAGGGGACCCATCCAGGGGTCACAGATGGCAGGAGTGTGGTGATTCTGGGGTTCTGTGATAGCCTCTGGACACAGCCACCAATGGCCACAGGTTGAAGAAAGATGCGATTGCTGAGCTCAGCAATCACCAAGGTCAAGGTGGAGCTCGGCAATCACCAAGGTCAAGGTGGAGCCCAGGCTAAGGTCATGAGCGCTGGCTGCTGCATGGGGCTGAGCGGACATGGACTTCCAGAGTGCACTCAGTGCAGAGGGAGGCTTCAGCTGCAGTGGATTCGTTGCTCCTAAGTGTCGTCTCGTCACTGAGATGTAAATTAAATTTGCATGAGGGTGCTAATAAAAGGCATTTCCTCTGCAATTTAGAACAACCAGGGCAGCKTGGCAGAGCCCCAGGAGCTGTTAGAAGTGCAGAGATGCAGGTCGAAATCCCAGCTCTGTCACCTGCTAGTTCCATGGCCCTGGGGACCCTGAGCTTTCTGCAACCCAGATTCCTCATCGTTGCCCCGTGGGGTCGTGGGGTTGYGAGAGCAAGCAGGCCACTTTGGAGACCATTTATAAGAGCATTCTGAACACGGAAAAGCACTTCACTAGGCTTCCCGTGATTCCCCTGGCTCTGATCAAAGCATGTGCTTCAGACGTCCCCTCTGAGCACCGTGCCCTGGAAGGGTGTTGTCCGAATTTAGGGTGGACAGGGGAGGACGGAACAGGTGCACCAAGACGGAGGGAGCAGCAGGTCCCCGGAGCTGCCTGGTGTTCTAGGAGCACCCTGTCCCCTGGCTCACTGTTCCCTTCCTTTAAAACCCTACGACTTGGGCAAACTTCAGGGGTCCCTGTTCCTCACAGCGTGCCGGTCGCTCTCCCTTTCAATTTACAACCACAGCCTCAAGTGGGTCTCAGGCACCTGAGGACCATCTGGCCTCATCCTCTGGAGGCGGCTCCTTGTCCAGTTTCCTTCCATGTAGAAATGGGTCAGGCAGCAGGCAGGCCCACAGGCATCCACAGGGCTTCAGTTTGGATTTTAGTTTTGTTTTAGCCCAATTCCCTAGCTGGGGGCAGTGGCCCGTGCCTATAATCCCAGCAATCAGGAGGCTGAGGCAGGAGGATCACAAGTTCAAGGCCAACTTCTGCAATTTAGCAAGGCCCTAAAGGACTTAATGAGACAATGTCTCAAAAAAAAAAAAAAAAAAAAGCTGAGGATGTGCTCCTGAGTTTAATCTGTGGTACCCAAAAAATAAAAAATAAAATGGGCTGGGGATGTGGCTCAGTGGTGAAGCATCCTTGGGCTCAATCCCCGTACAAAATAAATAAATAAACCCAATTTGCTGTTGAAACACAGGCCATGGCCAATGTTGACAGGAGGAAGCACAGGCTAGAGAGGAGGTGTCCACCCAGTCCTGGAGTATGGGGTCAGCTCAGCCTAATGCCAATGGCATCCAGCCCCATCCTCCCCTGAGGATCCCACCCTTGGGCTCCTGCGGCTCCTGCCCTCCTCAGCCTCTACCTTGCCAGCTTAGGGTTCTCCTGTATCTCCATCATCCACACCTGGGAGTGGGCGGGGCAGCTCCGGTCACCTCCCTCAATAGTTGCCACCGAGGATGTTCCAAAACCTTCCATGAAATCCAGCTGGGAYTTTCTGTCCTTAAGCGTCGCGTAACATATTCTGCTGTTTCTAAATAACYTCCATAAGCTGCCCTGCCCAGCAGACGTCAGCCGGGGGCACCCACCGTCCTGCTCTTTGGGCCCAAGAGGATGGAAACTAGGAGGTATCCAGACCCCGACGGACTCCCTGGGCGTCTGTTTCTCACCAATCCTCCTTTTTGAATTTCAGGCCAAGAACTCGCAAGAAGCCACAGGAGAGGGGGACGAGGCAGGCTCTGCCGCCCAGGACCAGCCCCAGGCCCCCTCGGCCCCCCCCTCGGCCCCCTCGGTGGCGCCTGCCCCTGGCCAGCCTGTGCCCCAGGAGCCCCCGGCCGCGCGCTCTGCGTCGCCTGCTTCCCCCGGGAAGCCCGAGGCAGGCGGGGAGGGAGTGGTGGGGCCCGAGGAGCGCTCGGTGCGGATCAGCGTGAGCCCTGGTCCGGATCCAGGCGAGCCGTCTCTGTCCATAGAGATGCCCGAGGAGAAGAAGGAGGCSGWGGAGTGAGTGAGGGTCGCCCGCGCCCKGTCTGGCAGGTGCACCCACCCGCCCGCTGCGCCCTGTGCAGGGTCCCCTGCGTCCGAGGACGCCTGCCGGCTTTAGTGGCCTCAGTCGAGCCAACCTTCCCATTCCTACGACGCCTCCTGAWGGACTTGGTCTTGAAATCAGCAAATGTCCATCAAATGTCGGTGTCCCCAAGCTCCCACAGTCCCCGGACCACGCTGTGGTTTATATTTTAAAAGAACAAAATCACTTTCCGCTTTTAAAGTTCATCTGCTGATGATAGGATGAAGCTCTGAGGTCTGGGAAGCTTTTGGAGAAGTCAGGTCTGGGAGTGGGAGGGCTTCTTGGGATTCGTCCCTTTATGTCCCCTTTATGTCAAGGGTAAGAAACAATGGGGGGGGGCAGCCTGCTGTCCGTGGTGATCCTGGTCGGAACAGGGAATGCTGTTTTCCTTGGCTGGGCAGTTAAGGGACATTAAGGGACATGCAGCTTATTAGGCTGGCCCGCATGTTCCCCGGACGACATTCAATTGCCTGTCTGACGCCATTATGTCAGAGCAGAGAAGAGGGAAACGGACTTGGTGGAAATGGACTTAGCTTTCCCAGGTAAAGGGCAGCCCTGGGGGAGCATCCTCAGCCTGTCACCCTGAAAAGCCCCGTTTCTCACCAGCAGGGATCAGGCTGTCACTTGCCTTAGACACCCTTGCTGTAGAAATGGTGGCAGCGACTTGGATTAATCCTCAAAAATGTAATCTCACAGCTGCTGACACCACTTAAATCCCTGAAGTCTCTCCAGATCATGTCATGTTTATATGATTAAAAAAAAAAAGCAGGGTTATTCAGTCCATGAATATTTATCAAGAGGATTTCATTTGCATACCGAATGGCTCTTGGGGGAGCCCATGATTAAAAACAAAATCTGGTATTGAACCATTTGTTTCCACCAGCAACCGTGAACCCAAAGGGCTTGAATTCCAGTAGGTTCTTCCCATTTTATATCAAATGACAGGACCTGGGGAGCCCCTGAAGGGACTTCCTGAAGGCTCCAAACTGTAGTATTTGTCCTTTGGCTACAAACAACACTGTGACATTTTTAAACAACTTGGGAGTTCCCAGGTGGGCCCAAGCATTTCCAAATCCCAGAGTGATGAACAGATTTATCTCGTTGATGTCATGTCATGTGACCCGGACAATCATTCCACTGAACGCCATTTCACTGGTACAGCCGTTCACGACATGGAATGGAATGATGATCGGCATTATTATCCTCCTCTTTAAAGGTTTTAGTCATTTGTTTTAGTAGGTTAAAAACATTCACATGGGGCTGGGGACGTAGCTCAGATGGTATAGAGTGCTTGCCCTGAATGCACAAGGCCCTGGGTTCAATCCCCAGCACACACACACACACACAMAAAAAAAATTCACATGGGTACAAAAGGATACTCAGGAAAAATGATTGATCCTATCCCTGGCTCCCAGCCTCCCCGGAGCCCTCTTTGGAAGTAATCACTGTTATCAGCTCCCTGTGTATCCTCTCAGAGATATTTTATGTTTATGCAAGTAACTATGTATATTCATTCTTATTCCCTTCCTTATTTTTCTTTTTTTGTTTGTTTGTTTTTGTTTTTGAGACATGGTCTTGCTCTGTTACCCAGGCTGGCCTCAAACTCCTGGGCTCAAGCAATCCTCCTGCCTTAGCCTCCCAAGTAACTGGGACTATAGGCATGAGCCACCATGTCCCGCTCCTCCCTCTTCCTCCCCCTCTGGCCCCTTCTCCTCCTTTATAAGTGGTAACACATAGTAGGCCCACCATTCTTCTCCATCTTATTTATTCTAGAGATTGTTCCCTATCAGTGCATAAAGAACATGCCTATGTTTTCATGATGGCAATCTAGCCCATCGGATGGACGTATCATGGTACTTAAACCATCTCCATCGATAAGCATTGATGATTCCAATCCGATGCTGTTAAAAAACAAAATAATGTGCAATCTGATTGTCACGTACAGGGGCTGCCGGTGTAGCTCGGTGGTAGGAAACTTACCTGGCATGAGCAAGGCTCTAGGTTTCACCCCAGCCCTGGAAAAAATCTTGTATGGACGTAATTTCACTGGCACAGTCTTTTTAAATGGGGAAGGTCTGGGAGTTTAGGAGGATTTCTTCCCTTACCCTCATTTATCATTCCCATATTCGCACCACATCTTCTAAGATCCAAGCACAGAGAATGCTTCCACTCTTAGCAAGTTATTTCTGACCTTCACAGAAGGTAAACATATCGCCCTTCTGTAGACGCAAAATGTTTCAATGGCACCTTCACTGTGAATCCTGTTTTATAAGGAATCTTTTGTATGTGAATGTTCTTCTTTCTTTAGTTGTCAATCCTTGAACATGTACTGCTTATTATGTAAAACAAGAGATTCTTACCGTTCTCAAGAATTGCCCTGGAAAGAAACTGATTTTGAAGTGAGATGAACAGTGTCTTAATTATTTCACTGAGCTATCTTAAATCAAATTCAACACTTTCCCCAAACCTGGATATTCGGTCAATTGAGTTCAAGACGGGCATGATTCTCCAAATTGAATTGGACTGTTGGTTGCTGAGATATGGAACAGCTCAGAAACAGTGTCATTCTACAGTCGAGGAATTCTAGACCTTTATCTGTGTATGTTGAATCTCTGTGCAATTTGAATGTCTCAATATTTCCTGCATTTGGGTAGAAAATGAATAGCAAGTTATTTTTTCAACTACATAAATATTTTAAACCAGACCAAGAAGCTGTTTAAAATTTCATAATCAAAATGTGTTCAGCTATCAGGAATATTATAATCTGTTTCCTTAGTAAACATGAATACTTCACATACACACTGGGGCTTTCAGATTACAGCGCATTTTAATTAAAGAATTTAGACAAATGTTCTTGGCCCTTGGATTCATTTTAAAAGCCGGCTGTGTGCGACAGCACCTCCGTGAGCGGTACTAAGTGAATTTCCTGGCTCAGGCGCCCTTGCTCATCCCCCACTGACATCTTTGGAGCCATAATCCATCCTTTATTCTGTCCCTGGGGTGATGTCCTTAACAAACCCCCACGGCCCCTGGAATTCTAAGAGCCTCGAATGGACGGCCTTTTTATGTCTGGTCTCAGCCAGCCAACTGCTCACAATTTCCCCAGCCAGCCTGTTCCATGACACAGCGTGCTCCTGAACACGGGCTCTGGATTCAGACCGTCTGGCTTCCAGTTGCAGCTTGACTCTGAACCCCGATGATGTCGTCTATGAGATGAGGATAACACACTGTATCACACAGGACCACCGTGATGATCCGATACCAGAGGGCACTGCCAAGTCTGAATGGGCACGAGGAATAAATCCAATCGGACACCCCCTTACTCTGCTGCAGAGGAGACTGGAAGCCACCCCCGCCCAGGTCTCTCTCTCCTCTAAATTCTGCTTCTGAATTATACACACAGAATGGGCCTGATCTCCTCTTTCTTGAAATTTTACAAGAGTTTGTACAAAGGGCTGGGCATGTGTGAATTATAACGCTATAAATCACGGTTTTCCCTACCAACGTTAACGGTTTAACTCACTCTCACATGAAAACAGAGGCTAACACACTCCCTAAAGGCTTCCCCTCCTGGGACGGACACTAGGCATGTGACTCGTGCATTCACACAAGGCCGGTGTCAGAAGGACTCTGCGTTGGACATTAATAATTTTTGAACAAGTCTTGCATTTTTATTTGCACTGGGCCTCACAGAATGACACAGCCTGTCATGGCTAGATAAGGAAGCCACCTGGTATCTGAAAAGGCCCGTGGGAGAGGGAGGCAGGGGTGTCTTTTCTGCCTCCAGCTCCTGCCTCCCTTCCCTTCCCCTTGGGAAGATTTCCTTTGGGCCACAGGTGGACCTCAGCTAGATTCTGCTTGCTAAGAATTCGACTCTTGACAGCGATTGCCACCTCACTCCTTGCTAACAGGGCACTGGTTTAGCTTTGGGCAACAACACACCTACCCGCAGGAGACGAAGCCCTGTCCAAGCCAGTCCCTCTCACTGTCTCTCTTTCCCCTGACACCCGACTCCCAGCCTTGTCCATAGGGGGGTGGCCATTTGACCCAGTTCCAAGCAACGAATTACAAAAGAAAGGATGATGAGACCTCCTTATTAAAGGAAAGATCCCCATTACCACTGTCCTCCTTTCCTGCTGCTCGTGATATGGATGCAAGAATATGTTTGGAGCTGCAGCAACCATCCTGTGACCCAGGAGTCAAACATCAGAGAGATGCAGGTCTTGACATGTTTGAGTGGCCCAAGCCACCCTGTGACACTTAGCCCCAGACCACTTGCCATCGGAGATGATGGTCTATATTTATTATTGAGGCCATTCTTCCATCCTGAAGTGAGGGATAAGTGAAGAAGGAAAGAAAGAAAACAGGAACAGAGGCGTCCCAAACCTGACACCCTGGCCTGGCTGGACATTAGTTCCTCTTGCTCAGATTCTTATTACCAGCTGTGTCCCTGGCCTCCCTGGCCTCACTGGCCTGTCCTCAGCCTCACCCTGATGACGCACACGCTGCCTTGAGCTTTAGTCTGTTGGTTTCTGTGGCTCACAATGAAGGAAACCTAAGCAAGGACTTGTGGGAGTCTCCTGATTATTTAAAACCCAAGATCTCTGCCACCTACTCTGGGTGTGACTTTTAGTCTAGCACAGGCACTTGGTTTCTGTTTAGGAACTATTTAAAAACAAGTCTGGGTTTCTAAATGCAAACATCAAGAAGACAGAAAATAGAGGAGGCGGGTGTGGTGAGCCGTTTCTGTGAACTGTGGCCGCCATTACAAGATGGCGCTGGTTTCCCCTGTAGTCTGTGACAAACAACTCCTTATCAGAATGAGTTGGCACGCTGTGACTTGGCACCCTGTGAGAAAAGTCCACGTGGCAGCTTCGCATTGGGGCTTGAGGTGCTTTATTAAGGCTGGGAGGGGCATCCAGGAGAGAGAAGAAAAAGTATCWAGGACCTGAATAAACTGCTGAAAGAAGATTCCTGAGTTGCGTCTTCCTTGCGGGCAAGGGGTCGCGACAGGCGGGTTTGATCAAGACCCAGGTGGCATACCTCTCTGTGGATGGACAGTCCACCGGGAGAGAGTGTTTTGACCTGTCAGCAAACTTGAGCATGAAAGATATTTCCCAAGAACTTCTCCCAGCCCCTTCCCTGTGTTAAAGGCAGAAGTCTTGGAGCAGAACCCACCTCATTAAGGATCCTTTAGAATGATCCCGGCCCCTTGCCGTCTTTCACAGTCCTTAAGTGCTAAGAACAGAGGTGACTGTGCTTTGGGGCTGTGGAGAGCTTTCCCACTCGTTAGTTCTGCCCCAAATTCTGCGGCAAAGTGATCAGGAAGGAAATGATAAGATCCACATGATTGATGAGGAAATTCTAACTTGATAGGCGAAAGAATCGATTCTTAAGGAATGAGCACCTTGGCTAGAGGCACAAATAGCCAAAAGAAATGTCCTCCGTTGGCCACCGTCCCGTTTCTGCAGGCTCATCTGACCTAAATGATATTCATTCATTTGGTAAATATTTTTAAATTTTCTTCCTTTGTGCCAGGCACTGTTCTGCTTGCTTTCTGGACCTCAGGCATTCCAACTCCATTTTTATTTTTTGGAACTGGGTCCTGAACCCAGAGTCTCACGCATGCTTAAGCCCAAGATCTACTGAGCTCCAGTCCCAGCCCTTCCATCTCAATTGGGAGAAACAAAGCAATCCTCCCAGGGTGTTCTAAGAAGATTCAATGGATTTTAAATAAACTATGACCAAAAAATGTATGGGTGTTTGTTAGTTAAGATTTCCTGGATTCGATATGCTAAGCAGTCTTTCTTCACCAGCCCCAAAATGAAGGGAAAGGAGCACAAGCGCCCTGCTTATCTTATTCCTTCGGTGGGCAAGAGCTGTTGGCATCTCCAGGGGTCTTCCCGGGTCACTGCCATACTTTGCCAGATTCAGGAAATAAAAATACAGGTTGGATTTCAGATAAACAGCAAAGGGTTGTGAGTTTTGTGTTGCTTGTTCTCAGTATAGGTGGGACAATACTGGGGACACACCTTTACCAAAAAATTGTTATATATCCAAAATCGAAATGCAGCTGGGTGTGTTTTATCAAGATGGAGACTAACGTCTGCCCCTTCAAAGAAAGGAAAGAGGGCAGTGGGCATCCTGCAGCCTCCCAGCCCCGGGAGGAGGGACCGATTGGACACCTCCCCCTCCCTCTCCTGAGTGATCAGGATTGTCACCGGAGGAGGGCAAGAGCCCGCTCCACTGTGCCGTCTGGGTTCGTGTTCAACGCTTACCTTAATTAATT